TATATATATATATATATTTGCTAATTGAGAAAAACAACTAATTAAGGTTTAAGACTAAAAATAATCAATTTCGTCATAAAATCTAAATATTTAATATATAACTAATTAACGAGTATAAATTCAGTAATTTCGATTAGAAAATTGTTGTTTGAAACTGTTGGGATCTGTGCGTCTGAGGTGAAAACATCCAAACTAAACACCACTAATCCTAATCCTAAACCCGAACAGTGAACACACACACAGACATATCTATAATGTTGAAATATGATATAAAGTAAAAGAGAAGATCTATAAATAAGAAATATATTTTTAAAAAAAGGTTGGTGTTTGGTAATGAGATATGAGACGACATTCATTTCACGCACTCACATCAATGTTGCATTTGCACAAATTCTAGGAATGATTATTTTTTTACACACACATACATATATATATATACATATATACACCCCACATGTGCATATTTGTTCGTGTAAATTAAAGAAGGAGTCTGTAATATAATTGAAAAAAAAATAAAGGGTATGAAATTATGAATGATGATAGTTTTTAATTTGGATTTTTTGTTTTAATTTTTAGTGTGGATTTAATTTTTGGGTTTGGGTTTTTGAAATATTTGTAAATTCAAAAAATGAAATTTCGGTTTTCGGTTGATTTTTTACTAAAATGATTTTTCAAGTTTTTAGAGAACTAAAATTATAAAACCTTGATTGTTAATTTTTTAGTTTTTAGATTCTAAAAATTCCAAAAACTCTTACCATTAAAGCCATAAGATCTCATCTATTCATTGCCCTTAATTTTGGGAAAATATATTGAGTTTGCTATATAATGATGTTTTTTTACCTAGCTAGGGATATTCTCTTAATTACATAAATTTTGTAATAATCAAGTTGATAAAAATCAAATAAAAGATTGAATCCAAATCGAATCGAATAAATTTAATTATATATTTTGATTTGAGATAAATTGGATTAGGACTCCAAATATTCGTTTGTTTGTTATGTTTTTTTTTATTCATTAGAATTTGTGTTGTCCTACATACAACATGTGTTGGAGCTTTGTCATTGGACACATCAATATCATTATCATTCGTCAATTTATTGAATTCTCTTCTTCTTTTGCATTCTTCGTTTATTAGTATATTATGAGAGTTGATATCCAAGTTGTATCGCCGAAATTCATATATATATATATATATATATATATATATACATAAGGGAAAATATAATAACAATACAATATCGATTTATTAAATTTCAGTTCTGACTTTGACAATACCACCATTGACCGCCGACGTAAAGCATGCTACCATGCATTAATTCTATTTCTACGTAACTCGACACCGATTTACATGTATGAATAATATATATATATAATTAAATAAGCTTTAAATATATATTTGGACATTTCAATATGTTTTCTTGTAAACTAAGAGTATTCCGACCTTTGCTTAATCAAACTAGCTATGTAATTTATCAATATAATCGTTTAAAAATATAGTTGATTGTGGTGATGAATCATACTGATTAGTTTATCCATAATTATTTTTTGGTACAGTGACATGATACGTAAATAATAATTTTTTTATTAATCTAAACAAATTAAGATAAAAATCCAAAAATCTCGACACAAGAACACCAAAAAAAAAAACGAATTGGCATATATAGAAAAATAGACAATTCATTATCGGAAAAAAATCAAGAACTAATTGAATCCTTAGATAATATTCGATTCACGGGGACAAAGAGAGCAAACCCTCGATTCATATAAAGAATGGTATCCAAGATATCTCATTTATTATATTTTTTCCACTTACAAATATTAGAAGTTGAGATTATTTTGAATTTTTTTGGCTATATTAGGGATTTTTATTGGATAAAATACTATTTTATTAGAAAATTTAGACCGTATGTGGCTTTGATAACCAATCATAATTCATGAGGTTTTCTTTTCACAGAAAGTATCTTTTAGAAATTAGGATAAGATCATTTATAAAAAAAAAAAAGAAATTTGGATAAGATCAAACACACACACATACCATTTTTTGTTGGGAAATTGTAAAATAAAGATATCTAAACCTTTTTAATAGTATAAAGTTTATATGATATTTTTAACATGTAGTAATATTATTTCGTCTAAAGTATCTGCGTCTGGTCCAAAAATAATAAAGCCAAAACAAATATTGTCTCGTGACATAAAGGCTGCCACGTCATAACTCATCGGGAAACAAAAAATTCTGGCTACTTCAGGGCGTGACTTCCACGCGCCTCCATCTACACCTGAATCACGACGCGTACTTATTTATTTAATTCAACAGTATATTTAATAAAATAAAATGAAACAAAATGGGCAGCCAAACACGTATATGTACAGATATATGTGTGCGCGTGTATATGTACTCACACCTATATATATAGCCAATCATCCTCTGCATGGTTCTCTCCCATTCTCAATTTGCGGACACGTTTCGTCTCTCTCTCTCTCTCTCTCACATAATCGGATCTGACCCGACCCGGTAAAAGCGATAGCGGAAAACCGTCGTGAACGGATCAAATCGGAATCCGTCTTTTTCTCCTTCCGACGAACTCACATTTTATCGCTTCCACCGTCTCCGATTTCGAATTTGGATCGTGTACACCCCCCTCTTCGAATCGTTTCCATTTTCGAATCTGGATTGTGTTTGTGGTTCCGGAATTTGGAAATTTTAAGATGAGGGTAATGGAGGATGCAGTGTTCAAGGCGAGGGACGCCGACGAGGCGGTGGAGATTGGAGGACCGGATGCGGAGGAGGATGTGAAGAAGGTATCTCCTCCGTGTTTGCTAGGGATCGATGAGTTTTCTCAGAAGCAGAGGAGATTCGTCGTTGTCGGTTATGCTCTTACGTCGAAGAAGATTAAGAGCTTTTTGCAGCCAAAACTCGAACGTTTAGCTAGGTATGATCCTTGATTTAGCCCTAATTTTTTACAATTATGGTTTTGTTATGTAACCTCGTGATTATTATCAAGTAGTTAACGATTTCATGCCTATGGTGATTCTCTATTTTCTTTTTCCTGCAAAATCTTTGGCAGATTCATTTGCTCAAAGTGTTCATGGTGATGATGATGATGTATGCTGTTTCTATTTTCCTCTGAACTTGAGTAGACTAACATGAGATCTACGAATATAGAAGATATAATCCTTCCCTTCTGAATCTTTTCTCGCTGCATTATTTATTTTGTTCAGTTTTCTGATGAAATAAGATATGAACATTTTCCCTCCATGATTAGGTTATGATTTGGTCTTTAAGTCCATCATCATCAATGGAGACAGGGAAAAAAAAAAGGAAACTTATCAAGCTTTTTAGGACTCTTCATCATTGGATTCCAGATTAAGACTCAACTATTTTTTGTTTTGTTAGATTATATTTTTCCAGCGAGTGGTTCTGGAATCTTTTGCCTAAAATTCTGTGGAAAATGCTAAACATGTTGTCCTCTGGAATTTTTTCAGAGATTTATCGTTTAGTGGATCGCAAGTTACATTACTTTCCATGTCGTTTTCTGCAACTCTTCTGCTAAAACGATGTTGAAAACATTAGAAACAATTGTTTTGGTTAATTATCTTCTCTTCCGTTTTTTTTTTCTTTTTTCTATTTGAATTTGAAAGCTCTTCTCATGTAATGACTTAATTGATGAAGATTTGTGTGCATCGTATGGAGAAGAGTGTGTATTTTGCTTTTAGTATGTCTGTCATGGGAAGAGCCCCTAATAATAAAACTTTCATGGAAACTATGAGCCCTTTCACCAATTTATGAACCACTGTTACGGTAAGAACCTGTCCTTGCACTTTGTAATTATTGTTTGGCTTCAATCGTTGCTTGATTTGTTGATATTTGTTTGATTATTCAGGGATTTGAGGTGATGGGCAATCTCCCTTGTTGCATTTCTGTCCCACGATTTTGACAAGTTTGTGACTTTTTGTGTATGCCCAGGAACAAGGGGATATTATTTGTCGCAATAGATCAAAATAGGCCTCTTTCAGAGCAGGGTCCTTTCGACATCGTGTTGCATAAGGTCAGTGTTTTGTTTTCTGTCTCATGTCTCGGTTTTACCGATACCTCATCTTGTTTTTGTCATGCTTTGTATTTGGCTGTTTGTCAGAAGATATGTCTTGGAAAGATGGCCTGCCCAGGTTGTTAGAAAAGAACCTTCTGTACATTTTCGTGCACAATTTCTTTGAATTTGTCACCTTGTCCTGATGATCTCCTCCTGTTGTCTTTTTCACGTGTATTACTACAGCTAACTGGGAAGGAGTGGCGTCAGATTCTTGAGGTTAGCCATGTTAGATTATTTCCTTTCCTTTTTATACCCAAGCATTTTTTACTCTGTTCCCTGCAGTGCTTACCACCTCCTTTTCATGTGGTGCATCTGTGTTCTAGCTATGCGATAACCTTTTGGCAAGATTTGATGGTAAATTGGTGAAAACTGGCAACTAGATTCTTTTTTTTTTTCCAAAGCTCATCTCTCCATGGCCAAATTTGCATAGTTCTTGATCTTTCCTTCATCAATCATGATTTGGTAGTTGAAATCAAGGCCTTAAGCTTCCAGGGTGAGCATGTTTCCACTTCCAGGAACGTCTAGCTGATAATTTCAGGTTTTCCTGGAATTAATTATTGATATGTTTTCTGAATTCTTTTTCGGGTTTTACTTGTCTTAGATGATAGTTGAACGCCAAACCAGTCCCCCTTTAGGTACAAATTTTTTGTTTATGCAACATTGTTATCTGTAGCTGGAGTGCATTTGAGCTATCAATTTCTGATTTTTCTCAAGGGTCCAGGGCACTGTGCTTCGCATTATATGCTTGTCATCCTCCTCTGTCCTTTATTCTGTCCAAAAGTGTTGACCAGAAAACTTCAATCATACTAACCTTAGACAGTTTTTGGACATATATCTTAGTTGTAAGAAATTATTGATGACAAGTCCGTGTCAAACTTCAATCTCTTTTGTCTTTAACCTCCATCTGTTTTATACCAGCTTTGGAGTGTATCTGAATGTTTAGTTCACATTTTGATTTTATATCATCATATGGTGCAGACGGATATGAATGCTGTATTGCTGTATTATCTATCATATTTTCTACAGTTTTTTGTTGTGATCACCTTAATCTTATTTCTCAGGACAGTGAAGTCAGGAGATATATTTACTTCTGGGCCATACTAATGTCTGTTTTGTAGTTTGGAGTAGACTAATATCCTGGAGATCTCCGGGACGTAGGCATTAGGCATAGAAATTCTTGTCTATAGGAGTATCAGCGGATTTCCAAAAGACTTGACTTCTTATTGTCCTGTGTTATCTCTGTTTCGTTGGGGCATATGCTCTCTTGTCGAATGGATTATTGATTGGTATAACCCATGTGATAAAATTCCAGTTGCGGTAGAAGGTTAAGCTTTGCTGTAATTTTTTTCTTACCGTTGAACTTTTTTTTTAAATTCCAGGAATATAGGCTAACACATCCAGATGTAACTGTTCTCGACCCTCCAGATGCTATACTACATCTCCGCAATCGTCAGTCTATGCTTCAGTGTGTAGCTGACATGAACTTGTCCGACAGTTTTGGTAAGTTTTCCCCTTTCATGTTCCCTTTCTGATCGAGATGCTCAAATGGAAACGGATTAGTTAGTGTTTCATTCGGTCGGTCTGATGGGAAGAAATTCCTACAATTTGTGCAGGAAGAGTTGGTGTGCCCAGACAGTTGGTTATAAAAAAGGACGCATCATCAATTCCTGATGCTGTCAGTAATGCCGGCTTAAGACTACCACTTGGTATGTGTATATACGCTCTCTTAGCTACACTGTTGCTTCTAATCTGTTGAATCTTTATTATCAGTGTTTGAATTAACCCGGTAATGTTGAAATTTCAGTTGTGAAACCGTTGGTTGCTGATGGAAGTGCAAAGTCACATGAACTTTCTCTGGCATATGATCAGCACTCCCTTAGGAAGCTCGAGCCCCCACTCGTTCTTCAGGAATTTGTTAACCATGGTATGGAATTAATGTTTTGACGGGCACGTATGCTTATTACCGGCCCTCTTTGAAGCTTTGCACCTGATTATTTCGTGTTTGCAGGAGGCGTTCTTTTCAAGGTTTACATAGTTGGGGAGGCTATAAAAGTGGTAAGGCGTTTCTCTTTGCCGGATGTTTCAAGACGAGAACTTTCTAAAAGCGCAGGCGTATTCCGATTCCCACGAGTCTCCTGTGCTGCAGCTTCGGCTGATGAAGCAGATCTCGACCCTAGTGTCGCGGGTAAGAGTCCTTTCTTTTTTCGGATGTACATACGGAATTTACCTAAAAAGAGTCTCGTGGATCCTTATCTGACGTTACCTCCTTTTTTTTCCTCCCATTTGCAGAGCTTCCTCCGCGTCCTCTTCTGGAGAGACTTGCAAAGGAACTCCGTCGTGGATTGGTACTGTGCATAAATGATCGTTCACTTTTCAATTTATTAACTGTCTAGTCTCTCTTACATTGTGTTGTTATATGTGGCAGGGACTGAGGTTGTTCAATTTAGACATGATCAGAGAGCACGGGACAAGGGATCGGTTCTACGTTATCGACATCAACTACTTTCCAGGCAAATCTTGGCTTGGGTTTTTGTGCTTTTTTAGTTACGGATTCTGGTTGGAAGATCTGAAAATGAAACATTTCAGTAAACATGAACTTGCAGGGTACGGGAAGATGCCAGAGTACGAGCACATATTCACTGATTTTCTGCTGGGCCTTGTAGAAAGCCAGTGTAAGGAAAGAGCCTTAGCTGATGATGATGAGGATGAGGATGACTACTAAGCGTTCTGACCCCCCAACCCCCAGAAAGAAAAAAGGCCTCATTTGAATGTTTCATATGCAGAAGCAACCCCATTGTTAACTCTTCTTGAGGGTTAGGAAGAAGAAAGAACACTGTACAGTTCCCAAAAAAAAAAAAAAAAGAGAGTGTTTGATCCTTGATGCTCTTGTTTTTTTTTTGGTTTGCTTAAAGAGTTTATGAACAAGGGGGATTGACTCGACTCTGCGTGAGATGTTCTAAAAATCCGACCTCTCTCTCGTCTCTATCGGGCGAAAAGGAAGAAAGGCTTGATCGAGTTTCGGGCAGAGCCCCCTGTTTGAATTGGTGAAAAACTCCAAAAAAAAAATGTGTTTGGTGGTAACCAGTAATTTTTAAATTCAAATCTAAATTCGGATAATAGATTTTTTAAAATTGGATATCCGCTAGTACTCGTCAAAAATTATAAATAATTATACTTTATATCTATATAATATTTTTATAAAATATAATTATTTTAGGTTAAATAATTTCATATTTTTTAAAAAATGTGTTTGGTGGTATTTAGTATTTATATATATATATATTTTGATACTGAATAGTTAGAGTTTTTCTGTATTTTGGATTCCAAAACTAAAATAAAATCCAATCAAGATTTTATATATTTGATTTTTCTAAAAACTCAAAAAACGATTTTATAAAAAAACAAATTAAAATAAAAAACTCAAAATAAAATAAAAAACTAAAAACCAAAACCCAAAAAAAATTATCACCGTCGCCGCCATAGTTTCGTTCATCCGTCGTTGGGCCTCTCGTTTTGGGTCCTCTTGCATTTGATGTCTTTTAAAATTTATTGTGTTTGAGCTTTTAAGTTCCTATCTTATTTTGATGAGAAAAAATAAATATTCTCAAAATGTTATTTTTTAAGGGATGCTTAATATATATAATATTCTTTCTGAAAATGATTAAACAGATTCCACAGAAATATACTCAATTCTTAGACCAAAATCAAAATAGAAAAATTGTATATTAGATGAAATTACACTCATTAATTATAAAATATAAGTAATATTATTTATATGCATTTGTATCTTTGTATTTTTTTTAAAGGATTGTTTAACAGCGAATTGTGATAACCTTTACCTAAGTTTGATTGCAAATGAAATTATTATTTAATTTAGGGATGACAATTTTGGTGTGAAGTATGAAATTCGGTCGGATCCAATCCAAAAAATATCGGGATTTGAGTTTAAATATACATATTCGAAAAATTTTATTTTTGAATCGGTTTCACATCGAATTTTGGATCAGTCTAAAAACCCGATAATTTTTTTAAAAAAATAAATAAAAAATAAAAAATAATTTTATAACGAACAAATTGGACGGACCGAATCGGTAAAGTCGAGTTTCGGACTTAATTGTTTAGATTCGAAAAAAATCCGAACCGATCTGAATCTAAATGTAAAACCATCAAACCGAATGCGAACCCGGACCGAATTGGCCTGGCCTTCCGGTCAAACCATTGGATTGTACAAATTAATATTTTGCTTTTGAATGAAGTGTAATTTAAATAAGAATATTTTTAAAACCAAATTAGAAGATATTTGACTATTATACACATATATGGCGAGAGATAAAACCTATCAACCGGTCCGTCCAGAGATCTGAGTTGACTCACTTTCTCCACGAACATCTTCAGTGTTCTTCTCCCCTGGCCGGAGAGAGTAAGAATTTGCATGAATTTCATTCAATCGATTTCCATGCCTCACTTTATCAAGTTAATTCCTTTTTCAGATTTTAGATTTACCCTTTTCGAAAGTTTCAAACCTTTGTTTCCGTTCTCATGGCGTTTTCCCAATGCGTTATCACAAGAAACATACAACAGATGAACTTTGCCTTTTAAGGGTTTGTCCTGAGTTCGCCGATTATTATTTTTCTGTTTTTTTTCCTCTTTGTTTTCTGTTGTCTTTTAGGTGGCCCGAATTAAGAACAGAATCAGGCGTACGAAAGGGGTATGGCGAATCATCAACAATTAGATCCTGTTGTTGAGTCAGATTCCTCTCAAATCCATCTTCTTTTGATCCTTAGCCTTATTATTGCAATTTCGCACCTTAAGTAGAGTGGGTGTTTAAGATTAAACATTTCAGTGGAGGAATTCGGGTGATGGGGAGGCTTGAAATTCCTCTCTCTCTCTCTCTCTCTCTCTCTCTCTCTCTCTCTCTCCAGGAGAAACAAGAAATGTCTTTTATAAAGTGTTCTGGAAACAATGGTGCAGAGCTCCGGAGGAAGGAGAGAGATTGGTTGGAAATGGCAAAAGCTTCGGAAATCGCTGCCAAGCTCAATCTCAAGGCTCACCCAGAAGGTGGCTTTTACACTGAAACTTTCAGGGATAACTGTGTCTTCCTCTCCACCTCCCATCTCCCTCCCCAGTGTATCTCTCTCTCTCTCTCTCTCTCTCTCTCTCTCTCTCTCTCTCTCTCTACATATTTTGTGTGTCTGAGGTATTGGTTTTGCATGGCATTTCATGATTCATGGCCAACTCCAATGAAATTACTCAGTTTTCATATGGTGGAGGATCCGTCACAGTCAGTTAATTGTTTATTTTATTTCTTGAAGCTTTGGTGTTTCCTGTCTTCCTCTCGCGTGAAAGAGTGAAGGAAAAGAGTTGTTCATGTCCTGTCTTAAACTAGCCTGCTTTGTTTAAACTAGAGCAACTTCTTCAGTAGAACTCTGTTTCTTGTTCTTAGAGCAGATGATGTGCTTGCCTGCATATCGCATGATTTTGTTCTTCTGGTTGCTGTCATATGAATTATGAGGTTCGGAAATTGTTTCAGAGTTTAACACTTTTCTTCTTCCGGTTGATCACTACTTCTTCATCATTCTTGTCAGCTAAAACTTCATTGTTATGATCATTAATCGGCTCATACTATTGTCTTTGTTTCGCTAAATTCTTGATCCATCAACTTCTTCGAATCAGTTCTGTTCTTTGTTGAGCTGCGATCATCTCTCTAATACAAAACTTTCTGGAATCTCTGCAGTCAAAGTGGATCGAGCTGTTAGCACGAGCATTTACTTCTTGCTTCCATCCGGGTGCGTTTCACGTCTCCACCGAATCCCCTGCTCCGAAACCTGGCATTTCTATCTGGGTGAACCTATTACAGTAAGTTGATGATCTCCTTTCTACTTGTATTTGTTCATGTTGGTTGGACGAAAGAGCTTATGTTGGTAAAGAAACACGAAGATTTTCTATTCTGAATCTTTGGTTTCGTCAGGTGGTGGAACTATACGATGATGGGCAGATCAAGTTTACGTGCCTAGGACCCGAGCTTATAGAGTTGGATCAGAAGCCTCAGTACACCGTCCCTCCAAACATTTGGTTCGGGTCATTCCCGACAAAGGATGTCAACATATCTCCGGACGGGACAGTGATCAGAGCCGAGCCCAGAAACCCCGAGAACCACTACTCTCTCGTCGGATGCACTTGCGCTCCGGCTTTCCAGTTCGAGGACTTTGAGCTCGGGAAACGCTCTGAACTCATCTCGGTGTTTCCTCGGCACGAGTCGCTCATCACATTGCTTTCTTACCCTAATTGATGCAATTGGAATTGAAAGCTGTCTTTCAGGCCCATCTCCTTCCTTGTAGGACACATTATGGGAATGTCTTCTTCGTCTTTTTTCTTACCTTCTTGTAACCCACTTTTTGTTGTTCTATATGTAATTTGATCGTTTCACTGGAAAGTTTTGATCTTTGATGAAAGACATCAATAAGGAACACATCCAAATGAACACTCTGTATTTACAACTTCTCCCCTTTTTTCACTTCGAGCAGCCAATATAACATAACTCGAGACATATCATTCAACTGTCAATCACTTCCCTTGTTTTGATCAAACATGTCCTAACCGAATCTGAGCTTCCGTGTCTTCTAATCTTCTGCAGAACTAGACCCATCAGTGCTCTTGTAGTTCTCTTCCCAAGCTTCTGGAAAGTTTCTCTCCCCTTCATCTCCGGCTTGATCATCCAAATCAACGGTAGCCGAATCCTCAATCTCGTTTCCCTTCTCTCCGTCGTCGTCTTCATCGATCAAATCCTCCACTGATTGCTCGGGGTCTTCGGCTTCACCTTCCTCTTGCTTCACCATCTCCTCTTCCTCTGCCGATTCATGTCCTTTCACTTGCAATCTCGAACTTTCTCGGGGATCAAGATTCTTCCTCCCGAGTCTCACCTCAATCCCATGAAGCATTGCCACTTCAGATGCTTCCTCATTCCCTTCCACGTCTTCTCTCTTAACGCTGTACGAATGTTTCACCTCGTAGAGCAGCCAAATGCAGAGGACAATCAATAGAAATGCTTGGAACACAGACTTTGTTCTCAAGCCTCTTGTTCTTTGGCTTCTGTTTGGTGACTTCATCATCATCATCACCAACAAGAACAACCTCTTAGACTCCCGTGTACAACTTTTTACACTGAAAAACCCATGAATTAGTCCGTCGAATCGCAGTTTAATATACCAAAAAAGTCGGCTAATCTGTGGAAATCACCTTGATTCAGTGTCTATGCAAGCATTAGGACTAGGAACAATAATATCGAACACCTTGAGGGCAATAATGGAGGATCTGTATCAAATGCCTTGATTTTCAGAAACCAAAACAATACAAAGGGTTCAAAGTTCACATCTTTAAACCTAACCATCTAACAACATTAGGCTTAAGATAATGCCCATTGTTCAGCCAAACCTTATCAGCATCCATTGTTGACAAATGAGCATCACCATATCAAGAAACATATAACCCAAAAAGGGGAAAAAAAACTAAAAACAGCAGTTCTCAGAACAAACAGTGACTGTACAAGAAAAACCCAGAAGCGAGGGGGAGAGAGAGAAGTGAATTAGACAAGACCAGAGGAACACCTGTTGCAAATGAAGTGGGAGTTGCAGATCTGTAAGGAGTATGTGAGGAACAAATTCAGACAACTAATCTTCAAGAATGGGAACAGAGAGAGAGAGAGAGGGGACGTGTCTGATAATGTGTTGATCAATTGAGGAAGAAGAAAGGACAGTCACAAGAGTGTCGAAAAGTGTGTGTGTGTGAGAGAGAATGGGTAATGTGTGAGTGTAAGTGTTGTTTTCTCTGTTTTCTGTTCATTATGAGCGGAGGACTTTGTCCATTGTTGCAAATATATTATGGTTATTTAAAAAAAGACATCTGACCAAGTTTTTTCATATATTTATTTTCAAAAACTAGTGTTTCCATTTTTTTTAATATTATTTGCATCTTTTTTTCAATTTGAAAAATATTTTATTATTCAGATTCCATCTTTATTATTTTTATGTTCTATTCCATTTATTTAATATTTTTTTTTTAAATATTATATTTAATCAATTTTAAATTAAATATAATTACACTACAACTGCGTTTATTTTTAATTACTCTGTTGTTTTTATTTATTATTCTTCTAATTCATTTTTTAAATTAAATATAATTATATATTATTGAATTGTTTTCAATTTTATATAATTAAAACAAAATATCACATTTGTTCAAACCCGTTATAATATTCACTAAAAACGCTCTCCGTTTCGTCTAAAAAATTGAATTAATATCAGTTTTTGGGAAATTGTCCTGAGTATATGTTTCTTATATTTTTTTGGGGGAAATAATTTAGGTAATAATTATTAAATTTAGTACTATGATATATCCTTTTTTACATATGATTAAACCTTATTATTCCTTCAAAAATTGCAAGTCAAACTAGTATTTTACCTGTGTTTTACAGATATACACTCTAATTCAACATAATTGTTTTAATTGTATTGTGACGTCATTATCTATGGCCGATGAAATCTTTTTTTGGAAGAAATTTTTTTCACAACTAGCATTTTTATAAAATTTCTCTTAATAGATTCTTCTAAATACCATAGGAAAAAACTTTTTTTGGAAGAAAATTTTTTCACAACTAGCATTTTTTAGGAGAAACAAAAAAAAAAAACTAGCATTTTCCGAAAGAAAATCTAAAATCGACCGACTATCGATAGATCCAAATGTTATAAAATCATTACAGTTTTAAGCCCATTCACTGATCAAGAAAAAGCCCAATATAAAGCCTAGGAAGGCCCACTAAAGCCCAATTCATAAAATTCTCTGAAAAACCTCTGCGGCGAGAAGATTTCTCGTCCTTCCCGTCGTCAGCTCCGCCTTTTTGCATTCTCTAAATTTCAAGGTTTGCGGATTAGGGTTTAGCTCAAATCCGGATGATGAACTCGATCTGCTCGTGAAATCGTTCCTTCAGACATCATTTTCTTGATGTTGGAGTCGTTTCAGTATATCATCACTGGGAATGATGATTTCATATCAAGGCCTCTGAAATATTCTCTCGGTCAAGAAATTGGTCGAAGGGATGTCTGTTTCCCGAAGAAAACATTGCATCGAACTGCTTGCTTGCAAGCAAACCAGTTGTCTGTGCCTTTTAGATGTTAGTAATCATCTGACAAAGGACTCGGGTCTGATCCAGCGTCTTTTGTACTTGACAATTATATATATTTTTTAATTTTATAATTATAGTAAACATTGTTCTTTATTATGTTACATAAAACATAAATTTTAAAATATAAAATTATAAAATAGTGTTTTACTTTGAAGGATTACGCATGGTCTTTAACCGGGAAAGCCATAGCCCAATTCCCGGTTCAGGCGAGAGAAAGCGAGGTGAGCTCTTCGTGTCCTCTGAGATTGTTCTTCGTTCTTTCACCTTTTGACACTAAAAGTCTTTAGAAGTGTCAACTCTCGGACATGGGAAATGGCATATAACGTCTGGATTGGATTCAAGCATGGCCTTCCGAGAGTTTTTGTGGCAATTGGGTTTGTGAATGAGCTTGCAAGGTCTTATAAATTTTAGATTTTGGTCATAGTTACAGCTCGTTATGTTTAGGTTTCGATTAAGTATGCTCTTTGACAAGTTTTAGGAGATGGGTTTTCTTGTAAAGCCTTTCAAAGTGAAAAAATTTCTAGAATTGGAGCAGCAAAGTCTCGACTACAATTGAAGCATGTTTAGTGGGATCATAATGTTTGCCTAACTCATAGTCAAGCAGTGAATCAGGGGCTGTTTTCTTTCGATACTTTCATCGGCTGGCAGATGGTTTATGTGTCTTGCACAGATAGCAGATCTAATTCGGTATGACTCGACAAAGGGAGAGGAGACATTGGTGTACATCCTGACACTTGGAGTTGTAGAGACGTATAGGAATCTCGGCATAGGTATGTAGAGTATGCCTTGCCTTTGTAAAACCATACCAGGGTTTCTGAAATTTCCTTTGCTCGATAACAAAGTTGGAAGTTTCTGCAATTTTCAGCATCTTCCCTAATCAAAGAGGTCATCAAATATGCTTCCGGCATCCCTACATGCCGCGGAGCTTACCTTCATGTGATTGCTCACAACAATCCCGCCATCCGTTTGTACAAAAGAATGTCCTTCAGATGTCGGGACACCCCTTGGCATCTTTTTTTTTTTTACAAACAAAAAAACTATCATGGGTAAGACCAATGCAAACATTGATGAACACTCTGAAGCCCGCGGGTAACGAGCCAGAGGGGGAGAGGAGGCGAGACTGCGTTGGCATTGGCGAAAGCATTGAAGGCCGATGGAGGCAAGAGCCAAGAGGGCTAAGCGACGCTTCGCTTAGAGTTTTTCCGTGATATTGTGAATCCCGACCCGACCCGATGGCAGCCGGTTTTGACTTAAATCCCTAAATTGGGGATTCAGGGTCAAGAGGAGAGGGCTGAGACTGGAGTGCCCCAAGTGAGGAGCGAGGGTGATTCCACCTCACCTCGACTCGCCGACCACTCGCCCTCACAGCTCTCTCCAAGTACATCCAACTCTCTCTCCTCGTCCTCTGGCTTCACCCACCTTTGGCCTTCGCCTCATGCCCCTCCCTCTCCTCACACTTGCCTCGTCGGCTGGATACCCGAGTTTCAGATACCTGCTTCTCACGAGGGCAAGGCTGGGATACTTTGGCCATGAAAACCATGTGGCGAGACCGAAGCCGGGTACCCCGAAAAAACTCGGATACCATAATCATGCCCACCCAACTCAAAACAAGTAGTAGATTGCCACAATTTTACCTGAACAATGGAGAGAAGTGAATCAACACCATCTAATCGGGTCGCGCGTACAGGAACTCCAATCACGGGCAAAGGAGTAAGTGAAGCGACCATTCCTGAACCCGAAGGCATACTTGGATCACTAAAATGCAAAAACTTGACCACAGAGCCAAAATTCATTGTTTCAAACAAACCTGGCAAGTGAGCCGCACCACCAGCGCCGGCAATTATGACCTGAACTCCTCGGCTACGAGCTGAAGTTGCGTATGAGAACATCAACTCAGGGGTTCGATGAGCTGAAACTATTCTCACCTGTAAAACCAAACCAAACCAAACCAAACCAAAAGGATGATGCTTTAATGTTAAGATTATGCCAAAAGAGACCTTTTCTTAGAGAGTCCTAAGATTTATATTTACCTCGTAGGTAATACCGAACATGCTGAGAATTTTGGCTGCGTCCTTCATCACAGGAAGATCCGAATCCGAACCCATTATGATTCCAACACGAGGCGTCTCTACAATATATATAGACAGGTTAATAATGTTGATCCATTTTAAGATATCATCAAAGTCCTGGCCCAAGAAATGCATGTGCATGATGGTGATTCAACATACTTGGTCAAGATCGCCAATGGCATACACCTCTAGAAAAAATCAGTTCAAAGATTGAGAAAAAAGTTTATGGATTTAACATTTACTAGAGATACAAACACAGACAACGGGAACTGACCTGCTGTTTCATCACTTTCTTCGTTTAACATGCATTGCAGCCTTTGCTCTACAACACCCAAAGAAGGTCCAACAAGGGTAATGTGACCCATCTTCCGTTGCTTTCTCATTTCTGAAATGAATATATATATACATATTTTATCATTGAGGTTCATCAGTGATCATATACTTTGCTTTTGCCAAAACTGAGCAGAACGTGAAAGGACAAGGTGATCGATCATACCCGGCTTGTCATACCAATGCACAGTCGCCCCTCTAATACTCAGAGCTCTTGCTATAAGATTATGAGCCAAATTGCAACCGGTTGCTCCCTAAGGGTAAAAAAATAGGCAACTTCATTTTATAACACAATGAAAAAACAAAACAAAATCAAACATACAATGGTAAAAATAAAGATAAGGGCTGTGAATTTACGTCCTCTTCACCAAGGATGTTGTACATAATGGCAGCCGGAGTTTTCATCGATGGGTCACCCAGTGGAAGACCGATCACAGCACGCAAGTGTTGTTCGTACTGTGAAGTATAACATGACTCAATTGTATGGTGGCCACTATTGTGCGGTCTAGGTGCAACCTCGTTTAGCAAAATCTGAAAAGGATTAAAAACTTTGATTAGCTAATATCGAAGTAGAAATGGAAACTTCAGTTTTTTCCCTCTCATTCATGAAGTGCAAATCAAAATGCCCGACCTCATTACCTGACAATCATTTGTCAAGAACAACTCAACTGCAAAAACACCAGCGCCATCTAGAGAACCAATAGCCTTTTGAGCGACATCAGCTGCAAGTTCCTTAATCTTCCAGGGCACATCAGCAGGCGCTTTAACTATGTGGCATATGTTCTCCCTATAACAAAAAATAAAAATAAAAAAAATTCAAAGGAAAGTATTAGACATATAGAAACATCTGCCTTGAATCTCATATATGATATGATACTGCACTTTTGGATACCTGTGGATAGTTTCAACAAGAGGATAACACACCACGGAACCATCCCTTCCCTTAGCCACAATAACAGCCAACTCCTAAAATTAAACGAATAAATGATTATATGTATTGAGGCAAAGATAAATGACTGCAACAAGAAAAGATTCATGATCTAAGTTTGGATATCAACCTTCACAAATGGTGCCCATTTCTCCACGTATAAACCACGGTCAAAACCTCCAAGGGCTGAGGAAAAAAACAAGAATGCAGACAAAAATCACAATGGAGAACATCTAACAGAGTAAAGAAAATTTAAAATTGATGAATGATCAGTGCTAGGGATGCTGCTTGATTACGATGATTCTCTAGAAAATATGAGTTAGTAAAAAAATTATGTCAGATAACAAAAACTTTATTCCCTATTAGATACATAGTCTCTATGTGTGTAACTTGTGATTTCTTATTTCCACATCAATTGTGACATTTTACTCAATAAGCATGCAAAATATTAAATTGCTCTAGTACATGAAACCACATGACAAGATGAACATATAAACTACATGGTTAATCAAAGGATTACCATTTACAGCATAAGAAAGCTCATTTTCATTGTTGGCAACTGCATTTCCACGCCCATCATATGCCAACCGTTTGCTCTTGATCATAAGAGGATATCTAAAAGTTTCACCTGCTCTTTTTGCTCCTTCCATATCATCTATCTGTTTAATGGTTAAAGAATTTATTTTAATCTCCGGTTTATTTGTGGCTATGTGACTAATTGTTTCAATAACTGGAGAGAATGCCTAACCTCCATAAACTCGGGAAGCGGAATGCCATGCTGAGAAAAATGAACTTTTTGCATATATTTATCCTGAAATATAAAAACGTCGAACACTTAATCCATATTGCTTGACAAAGTTCAATCATTAGGAAAGAAGCAAAAGCAACTAGCATGAATAATTTTTTACTTAAAGAAAGAGCATTTGATTAAGTTACGAACCTGGATAATCCGGATCGTCGAGGCTTTAGGTTGGCAATCCACTCCTTGTTGCTCGAGTTTTTCTAATGTTTCCACATCAACATGTTCAATCTCCACGGTCAAGACTCCACATCTTACAACCACGAGACACAGAAAAGAGATAAGAGTCATCGCCCTTTTATCGAAGTAAACAAATGAAACCTAAAGGATAAAAGAAACAAACAAAAAAAAAAGAACCTTTTTGCAAACTCTTCAACCGTTGCACTGACGTCAAAGCTTCCGACCATGTGACTATAAGACAATGCACTAGCCGGGCAATTCTCAGAAGGGTCTAAAACCATCACTTTGATAGCCATTTGGGAAGCTGCTTCACAAAGCATGCGGCCCAATTGTCCACCCCCGAGGACCCCAACAATCATCTCTGATAGTCCATGAACGGGCGTGTCCTTCCTCTCGCTAGTACACCCAAAAAAAACCTATCACAGTTAGAAACCAGTTCTTTTCCCAAACCAGACAAGCTTCAAGTACTCAGTTCGAAGCTAATAAGGATGAAACACACAATTCTCAGCAAATGCAAACGGAGTATTGCCATTATTTTCTTCACTTTCTTTCTTTGCTGCAAGCCGTTTAAAATTCAGAACTTCAATATAAGTTCCTCTTCGTAACAATAGAATTGATATTTAATTGTTTAAACCAGTTATATGTTAATTCAACATAATTAAATTCTATTTATTAATAGACTGAGTAAAAATTAATAATTTTTTTAAAATTATATATATAATTTTTAAATATAGATAAATTTTATTTATTGTTATAATCTTAAATTTTTTACTAATATGGACACAAATTAAAATAATTTTAGGGTGACATATAAATATTATTTGTTTTGATAAACAAATTAATAATTATTTTACAAAAAATAAAAATATTAATTTTCAATTTTTGTTTTAAAATTATATATAAATTCAGTTCTATATTATTATTAATTTTAATTTTAATTGATAATTGACAATAAAAGAATTAATTTTATTTAAAATCTTATATAGAAATAAAAAATTGGATATAATAATTGGCACATCTGATGTCTGGCCAGACCTATTTTTTATTCACCCACCCACGTGCCTATCATCCTCTCTCTTTCTCCGACACCCACTTTCCCTCTCTTCGTCTTCTACCTAAGCCTAGATTTTTTTTACATTGACCGCCTTACTACCAGAGGCGCACGCATCGGCCGGAGGCGCGCCTCATGCAAATCGCATCGCCTAGGGTTCAGGATGCGATTTTGGGTTCGCATTTGCGCCTCCACCACCTAGGCCGCGCCTTTTCGAATTGTTTTAAACAGTCGAAACCCAACTCAATAAAATGCGGAAGAATGAGAGACTTTGCTCTAACAGCATCGATACTCAGATGAAATCTTAAAAAAAATTCAAAATTTGAGAGCAGACTCGCACAATCAACCATGTCCGAGACCGAAAGAGTCATATGTACTCACCTGATCGGGAATTTTCCGTCAGAGCGACGCGTCGCCGTGGCCCGACAGGCCAACACCGGGTTGAATCTCCTCGACGGTGGAGAAGGAACGTTATGCGGCTTCTCCATGAAGGAACCCCGGCAAGAGCGGTCTCTTCTCGCCGGAGAAAACCCGACTCGAGAAGCAGAAGGCCAAGAACGTAAGATGGGATCAGATTTTCCGGCGACAAAAATTGCGGCGGACTGCTTCATAATCATCTTTTCCGGCTTCATAGTCATCTTCCTCCTCCCAAGCCATAACTTTTTAGGTTAGGGTTTTAAAAAGAATTTAAAAAAAAAAAAAGAAGAAAAGACTATTTAACCCTCAATACGATTCAGAAATATTCATTTATTTAACTATTTTATCTAAAAAAAATACGTGATGGAACTGTTGGTTTTTATAAAATCACGTTAACATAATATAATCTAAACGGATTCGGTTTTAGGGTTTATAAAGTAGAAGGTAAAACAATCTAGAAACCGAACATATATATAAAAAATACTTACCTCTTAAAACGATTCGAATCCACAGGTTGATATTTGTTTTTTTGGGATTATAGCCATAATTTAAACGTGAAAAATAAAGGTTGTGTATGTTTTTCACAAAGAAGATTTTTTCCGGTCACACCATCTTGAACTCATTTACTCGTTAATTATTTATGTCAACTTTTCTACACCAATAAAGTAAAGCCACCTATTGTTCTCCTTGGATTTCGGACAAATGAGTCAGGTACAATGGTTGGATATTAATTCTTGGTAATGCATAAAAATTTCATTGAATTTGTTTGGTCCAATGGTTATATAGTAGTTTACGGGAAATATTAACAATGTCAGTATAACGATAACATGAAATTTAATTTTTCAATCTTCTAATAGATATCACATGTATCTTCGTCTTTTGTAACTATAAACACATATACATGCATGTATATATATAGGGGGCGACTGGTTGCACCGCCGCTATCCGCAAACGCAGCGGTTGCGATTTCCGACGGTTGCAGGCGTTAAAAAACTGATTGATTGAACCGCAATCACCCGCAACCGCAGCCAAACTTTTATTTTTGAATTTATAAATAGAAAAAATTAAATAGCATATATTGACATGTTACCATATCATAAACGATCCTTGTATAAAATAGGGGTTTACGCTTCGTTACGATATTTTAGAATGAATCACATAGAATCGAAAATGCGGTATTGTTTCCTGAACCATTCAAATTCTCGAATTCGTATTTTTTTAGAAAATCGAATTTTTTTCAGAACCGAACCGAACCAAAATTTTCAAAAATCCAAAAAACCGAAAATTTGTTAGGAAAATCTAAAAATTTCTTAATAAAAATCAAACAAAACTGAAACAAAAACTGGACCAAACTGAATATAAAATAATAATTGAATGATACATATTTTTGTAAAACCGAACTAAACGAACCAAATAATTTCCAAATCAAACCCAATTCGAAAACCGAAATGTTCCTAAAAAATAATTTACAAACCAAAATTAAATAACTAAATTTATCACTAAAATATATGTACACGTGTATATATATATATGTATGTGTGCGCTCTCTCTAACATTGATAATGATGCGCACGCACCGAGTTCTAAATTTGTAACCCGATTCGTACCACTAACCGCAAGTATACGGTAGTTGTAGTACCGGGGTCGATCACGAGGACTAGGTGATATTGATCTATCTTAAGGCTAGGTTGATGATGGAAATGGGGTTAAAATGATGATGGCGATGATGTGAACTAAACTAAATGTAAGCAAATAGGAATAAACGGTTAACAATCAATGATTCAAGCGTTGTAGGTTCGGGATCCCCTTTTGATTTGCATGGATAGTTAAAGATGATATGATGTCTATGATGTTCATTTCCAAATGAGGGATTTCAAGCATCTTAAATAGAGTTTGTCTCTCCCAAGCTTAAACTCACTACCCAAGACATCAATTTACCCATCTCCCAATGATCTAAATCACGTTAACATAATATAATCTAAACGGATTCGGTTTTAGGGTTTATAAAGTAGAAGGTAAAACAATCTAGAAACCGAACATATATATAAAAAAGAAAGGTTGTGTATGTTTTTCACAAAGAAGATTTTTTCCGTTCACACCATCTTGAACTCATTTACTCGTTAATTATTTATGTCAACTTTTCTACACCAATAAAGTAAAGCCGCCTATTGTTCTCCTTGGATTTCGGACAAATGAGTCAGGTACAATGGTTGGATATTAATTCTTGGTAATGCATAAAAATTTCATTGAATTTGTTTGGTCCAATGGTTATATAGTAGTTTACGGGAAATATTAACAATGTCAGTATAACGATAACATGAAATTTAATTTTTCAATCTTCTAATAGATATCACATGTATCTTCGTCTTTTGTAACTATAAACACATATACATGCATGTATATATATAGGGGGCGACTGGTTGCACCGCCGCTATCCGCAAATGGAGCGGTTGCGATTTCCGACGGTTGCAGGCGTTAAAAAACTGATTGGTTGAACCGCAATCACCCGCAACCGCAGCCAAACTTTTGTTTTTGAATTTATAAATAGAAAAAATTAAATAGCATATATTGACATGTTACCATATCATAAACGATCATTGTATAAAATAGGGGTTTACGCTTCGTTACGATATTTTAGAATGAATCACATAGAACCGAAAATGCGGTATTGTTTCCTGAACCATTCAAATTCTCGAATTCGTATTTTTTTAGAAAATCGAATTTTTTTCAGAACCGAACCGAACCAAAATTTTCAAAAATCCAAAAAACCGAAAATTTGTTAGGAAAATCTAAAAATTTCTTAATAAAAATCAAACAAAACTGAAACAAAAACTGGACCAAACTGAATATAAAATAATAATTGAATGATACATATTTTTGTAAAACCGAACTAAACGAACCAAATAATTTCCAAATCAAACCCAATTCGAAAACCGAAATGTTCCTAAAAAATAATTTACAAACCAAAATTAAATAACTAAATTTATCACTAAAATATATGTACACGTGTATATATATATATGTATGTGTGCGCTCTCTCTAACATTGATAACAATACTTACAACATAATCATCAAACATTTTCTATATATAATCAATATTTTTTTATTGTTGGGCTCATTTTGTAATGATGAAGATGCCAAAGGACAAATAATTAGTTTTATTCACAATATTTATTTGCTTTTGAAATATGAAAATCTTCTCCTTCGTTGACTTGAGTTGAGGCAATGGGACCTATTGACAAAATTCATATGGAGCTTGAAATATTTAAATTCCCTTTGTCATTAACTTGTGACCTAGCTATAGATAATACTCCTTTTTTTTTTTTCGTGAGCCCATTCTATAGTTGATTCTTGATAGTATGATATAATTCGAGTTTTTGTCACGTTTATATAAAGGGAAACATACCCATTTCGCTAAATTCAATTTGATCATCAATTTCATTAGGAATTGATGATCTTTTAACGCAAAAAAACTTAGGTCCAAAGCCTAACATTATTTGGATAGATTCATGTCGTGCTTCGGGTTTCATGCCTAAATTGACACCCCTATAAATTTTATTATTGTCAATGATTTGTATAGAAAAAAATTGAATATTTATCTTTATCTGACTACATTATTTATATTAATATCTAAATATATTTGCTCATTTTTATTTTATTTCTCTTCGTTCAACTCATATATATCTAAATTAATAGTGGATTGATTAATATTGAATGTTAAACCAGTATTTTTGAGATAAAATATACATAACAATGTTTTATTGTGAAATGTTTCGATCTAAATATATTATCATTAGATTTGTAACATCCACCAAATTTATATTATTGTTTAAACTGTACTTACCAAACTATGGATAGTCACATTCTACCAGAAATAGAACTCTTTTTTACTGATTTTATTTTTTTATCTTCTCATAGAACTTTAAATTTATTTATTAATTATATACTTTAAAATTAAATATATTTTTAGAACTTATTTATTTTTATTAGAATAAGATCTACGCATGCATTATTATTATTATTATTATTACTAGAAAATAACCTACACGCATCGCTAAGACTACTCCAAGGCCAGCACACTTAACTTTGGAGTTCTCTCGAGATGGACAACCGAAAAGGTAGATACATCTTGTTGCTATGAGTAGTTCAATTAATTCATTTAAGTTATCTTAGACTGTGTAGTTAAAGATTTTCTGCAAATTTGGTGCTTAACAATGAAAGAAAGATGGGAGAAAGAATGGTTGAATATAGAGTGACGAAAATAGATGAATGGAGAGAAGTTCTTTTGTATTCAACTTGTTTTTTAATTTGAATGAGATGTACATCAGATATAAATAGGAGAAAAACTAGCTGTTGGGGAGACAACAAAGTAACATCTAGGAGAAAAAGAGCTAGGTGTAGGGGAGACAATAAAGTAAAAAGGCAACTAAGCATGGAACATAAAGTATGGTCTAGATATTAGCAAAGAGCTGTTGCAATCCCATTTATTAGAGCATGGGGAGAAGGAATGCAGCATCTTCAATAGGTATTTTCGTGCTCCTCTTTGCTTGTAACACAAGTGATCAGATTTGGTTTCTTCTTGGTGAAGTTATCCTCCAAATCTTCACAATTAGTCTTCGTTCCAACTGTATCATGTATTTCAACATCACCCGTAACACATTCGTCGTTCTCTTGTCTTTCAACATTCCCCCTCAAGATTGGTCAGTGGAATTCTATGAGGCCAATCTTGGAGAGGATCCTGTTAAGAACAAAAGAGCTGGTAGCCTTCGTAAGTATATCTGCTAATTGATCTTGGCTTCGTGTGTACTTTGTTGCTATAAATCCTTGTGTGATCTTCTCTCGAATGAAATGACAGTCCACCTCAATATGCTTCGTCCGTTCATGAAAAACTGAGTTTGCTGCTATGTGTAACGCCGCCTGATTGTCACAATGTAAGGGTGTCGGATTTTCTGTCTTGACTCCAAGATCCTTTAATAGCTGTTGGAGCCACACTATTTCGCTTGTTGTGTTCGCCATAGCTCTGTACTCCGCTTCTGCGCTTGATCTTGCCACCACCGTTTGTTTTTTGCTCTTCCATGTAACCAAGTTTCCTCCAACAAAGGTGCAGTATCCCGTTGTTGATTTTCGATCCATCCTATCTCCAGCCCAATCAGCATCACAATAGGCCACGAGCTCGGTATGCTTGTTGTTTTCCATCCATATGCCTTTGTTTGGTGTTCCCTTTAGGTATTTGAGTATGCGGTCCACCATT